CTATCCACAATTAGATCCCCAGTCAGATTCATGATCATGGTAACATTGCTTTTAGCTTGACTCTCAGTTTCAGAGATAATCATAGGATCATTGGGACAGGGCATTAGGACACTGCATTGTATCTAGACCTGCCTCGCCAGATTGTAACAATATGCAGGGAGGAGTTCAAGTATCCTTGAGGCAAATGTATGTTGGAAACCATTCCATGTGAATGCACATTGTTGTTAACTCTTCCTGGCATCTGATATCGAAAAAAAATTAGTCAGGTCAATTACAGCAAACCATTCACTTTTAGCTTGTTGAATAGTCTATTTAGCAGTTGAATAGTGTGGATTCTATCAGGGACTTCTGAAGCTGTTAAAGTTTACTGTTTAATGGAGTTTCTGGTAACCACTGACAGTCCCCATCATCCATCAGCCTCTCTCACTGGCAACATCAGGGCACTGTACAGAGAATGTGTGGATACAAACATGCCTGCAACTAACATTTCCTTAATTAAAGGTACTAAATTTTTTGTTGTTGTAGGCCTGTTAGTTAGCATTTCAAATTAACTATTTGAATAGGCTTAGGTAACTCTTAACAGTTCCCATTTTTCATATCCAATTAGTACTGAATGGAGAACAGATCTACAAGTTATTTCATCTGTAAAAAAATTCACTCAGTAGGAGGAAGAATTTGCAGCCAATTATTCTATCCATACCAATTATACATTCAGGTAAGAAATACATCCCTACAGTATACTTCTGAAAATCATTTATTTCAACTTTTAATGAGATTTTAATGTTTATCCCTCTTCCGGAAGCATCTCCCTGCTTCCCTAAATTAATTCTATCACCCTGAATGGACTCATTAGTAGGCTAAGGCAATGTTCCTGTACCTAATTGACCTAAAAGAGCTGCTTTCCTATCTCTATGACATTTTACCCACGCATCTATAGAAGGCCTTGGTTTTCCCACAGGAATTTGGTTAGGAGGCCCAGTCCTTCACATCACCCTTCTTCACCCATTATTGCCTGTGGTAGATAGAATTCTAAAGGTGTCTGTCTACTCCAGGTTCCCGTACACTGCTCAGTCAATCAAAAACTAATCCAGTTACTGGTCTGAAGGGATTTTGCAGATAAAATTAACCAGCTGACTTTAAGATACAGAGAGCATCTTGGATTATTCAGAAAGATCCAATGTAACCACACAAACCCTCAAAAGCAGAAGAGGTAGAGAGTTGCAGCAGAGAGAAAAGCTAAAGAGATTTGAAGCAAGAAAAAGACTTGCTCCAGTCACTGACTTTGAAGTGGGCCGCGGGCCATGAGTCAGGAAATGTAGGTGGCCTCTAGAAGCTGAGAATAATTTCCAGACAGCAGTTGTTAAGAAAACAGGGGCATCAGTCCTATTGCTACCTGCAAGTAAATTCTAACAGCAACCTTAAAAGCTTGGAAGCAGGTTCTTTCCTAGAGTCTCCAGAAAGGAGCAGAGCCTGCTGACAGCTTGACTGTGGATTTTTGTTACCTGGAGCAGAAAGACGAGCTTAGTTTACTGGATTTCTAATCTACTGAACTGGGACATAATAAATTTGTGTTGCTTTAAACTGCAGCAATAGAAAATTAATATAGCACCTTACTATTAAAAGCAGGTATTTTGCAGTGACATAGAATCTATCTGATATGGTTATCTGTGTCCTCACCCAAATTTCACATTAAATTATAATCCCCATGTGTCAACGGCAGGAGCAGGTGGAGATAACTGAATCATGGAGGCAGTTTTCCGTGATGCCATTCACCAGACAGCGAGTTCTCACGAGATCTGGCGGTTGTATAAGAGGCTTCCCTCCTCACTCGGCACCCATTTTCTCTCCTGCCGCCCTGTGAGGAGGTGCCATTTCCATGACTGTAATTTTTCTGAGTCCTTCCCAGCCATGACGACTTGCGTGTAAGTTAAACCTATTTTCTTTATAAATTACCCAGTCTCAGGTATTTCTTCATGGTAGTGTGAGAACAGACTAATACAGCAAATTGGTACCAATACAGTGAAGTGTTGCTATAAGGATACCTGAAAATGTGCAAGTGACATTGGAACTGGGTAACAGGCAGACTGGAACAGTTTGGAAGGCTCAGAAGAAGACAGGAAAATGTGGGAAGGCTTGGAACTTCTTAGAGACTTGAAGGATTTAGAAGACAGGAAGATACGGGAAAGTTTGGAACTTACTAGAAATCTGTTGAATGGCTTTGACCAAAATGCTGATAGTGATATGGGCAATGAAACCCAGGCTGAGGATGGCGAAGAGGGACTTGTTGGGAATTGGAATAAAGGTGATTCTTGCTATGTTTTAGCAAAAAGACTGGAGGCATTTTTCCCCTGCCCTAGAGATCTGTGGAACTTTGAACTTGAGAGAGACAATTTAGGGTATCTGGTGGAAGAAATTTCTAAGCAGCAAAGCATTCAAGAATAAGCAGAGCATAAACATTTGGAAAATTTGCAGTCCGATGATAGGATAGAAAAGAAAACCCCATTTTCTGGGGAGAAGTTTAAGCTGCAGAAATTTGTATAAGTAGTGAGAAGCCAAATGTTACTCACCAAAACAAAGGGGAAAATGTCTTCAGGGCATGTTATAAACCTTCACACAGGACCTTCCATCACAGGCCCAGAGGCCTAAGGGGAAAAAAAAAAGATTTTGCGGGTCAAGCTTAGAGTCCCTTGCTCTGTGCAGTCTCAGGACCTAGTGCCCTATGTTTCAGCTGCTTCAGCTCTAGCCAGGGCTGAAAGGGGCCAAGGTGCAGCTTGGGAAATTGCTTCTGACAATGCAAGCCCCAAGCCTTGGCAGCTTCCACATGATGTTGAGCCTGTGAGTGCACAGAAGTCAAGAACTGAGGTTTGGAAACCTCCACCTAGATTTCAGATAATGTATGGGAATGCTGGATGTCCAGCAAAGAAGTTGGCTGCAGGGGCAGAGACCTCATGGAGAACCTCTGAAAGGGCAGTGCAGAAGGAAAATGTGTGGTCAGAGACTCCATGACAGAGTCCCCACGGTGGCACTGACTAGTGGAGCTGTGAGAAGAGGCCCTCCATCCTCCACACCCAAGAATGGTAGATCCACTGACAGCTTGTACCATGCAGCTGGAAGAGCCACAAGCATTCAACACTAGCCTGTGAAAGCAGCCAGGAGTGCTGCTGTACCCTGCAAAACCACAGGAGTAGAGCTGCCCAAGGCCGTGGGAGCCCATGTCTTGCATCAGTGTGCCCTGGATGTGAGACATGGAGTCAAAGGAGATCGTTTTGGAACTTTAAGGTTTAATGACTGTCCTATTATATTTCGGACTTGCATGGGGCCTGTATTCCCTTTATTTGGGCCAATTTCTCCCATTTACAATGGGTGTATTTATCCAATGCTTGCACCTCTATTGTATCTAGGAAGTAACTACCTTGCTTTTGATTTTGCAGGCTCATAGGTGGAAGGGACTTGCCTTGTCTTGGATGAGACTTTGGACTTGGACTTTTGGGTTAATGCTGGGATCAGCTGACCTTGGGGGACTGTTGGAAAGGCATGATTGTGTTTTGAAATGTCAGAACATGAAATTTGGGAGGGGCAAGGGGCCAAATGATATGGTTGGGTTCTGTGTCCCCACCCAAATCTCATCTTGATTATAATAATCCCCATGTGTCAAGGGTGGGACCAGGTAAAGATAATTTAATCATGGGGGCAGTTTCCCCCATGCTCTTCTCATGATATTGAGTTCTCACAAGATCTGATGGTTTTATACAGGGCTTGCTACTTTGCTGGGCACCCATTCTCTGTCCTGCCACCCTGCGAAGAGGTGCCTGCTGCCATGACTGTAAGTTTCCTGAGGACTCCCCAGCTATGAGGAATTGTGAGTCAAACTTCTTTATAAGTTACCCAGTCTCTCATAATTTCTTCATAGCAATGTGAGAAAGGACTAATATACTAGCCATGTAACAAATGCACACATGTACTCCCTGAACCTAAAAACAAAAAGTTGAAAAAAGAAAAATAAATAATAAAAGAAGGTATTTTGGAATTCAATGCTGGAAGCTCATGAGAACCTTTCCCTATCTGAAATTCCCCTAATCTTAGACAAGCCAAGTGTATCTGCTTTGTATTTTCAGATCTTGGGAAATTTGAAAAGAAGCAGTTGTATTTCTCTAGGTTCCTGAAAAATTTCATCAAAGATCTGGTGTGTACTCTGCCCATTTCTTCCTTTTTCATGTCATTTTAGATTAAACATCTAAAGACTTGTAATTCTTAAATATCTAAAGAATTCTTGACCTTTTCTTTGTTTTACTTTCTTTTGTAAAAGCTTACCCTCTGTATAATATTATCGGATAGGAGGAAGTTGGGAATAAAAGTCCAAAGTTGTCTCTTTTACACCCTTTTTAGGTCCCCAAAGCATAATTGAGAAGCACTGCTTAAAACTATAAAATATCTCTCCACTAAAAACTATAAATGTATTTGGCTTTATTTATTTATTCTTATTTTGAAGCTTTTATTATAAGAGCCCACACACAGAAAAGTACAGAAATCCTAAAGGTACAGCTCAATGCATTTTCGCAATGTGAATGTATCTTTGTAAGCAGCACCCAGACCAAGAAACACGACGCTTACCTGTACCTCAACTTTTAACACTATTAATTAATTTGCTTGCTTTTGAGCTTATGTAAATAAAATCATATAGTACCTTTCTTCAGTTTCTGGCTGCTTCTGTTCAACATTTAGTTTATGATTTGCAACCACATAGTTCTCCAAACAAAAGTTCATTCATTCTCATTGCTATATAGTACTTTACTATAGGATTACAACACAACTTATCTATTCTACTTTTAGAGATTTGTATTGTTTAGCTTTTCACAATTACAAACAGTCCTACTATAGGCAAGACACCCTTGTATATGACTTTTGGAAAGCACATGTGTCTTAGCTTGTTGGTGCTCTGTAACAAAATAGCACAGACTTGGTAAGTTATAAATAATAAACATTTATTTCTTAAAGTTCTGGAGGCTGTACATCAAGAAGTCAGCAGGTTTCGTGTCTGATAAGGGTTTGCTCTCTGCTTCCGGGATGGTACCTTCTTCTTGTGTCTTCATATGGCTTAAGGTTGAAGAGGAAAATGGACTAAGATAATTCCTTCAGTCTCTTTTATTTGGTCTGTTCACATTCATGAGAGTTCCACCTCATGATTAAATCATGCCCAAATGGCCCAATCTCTTAATATTATCATATTATTGGCAATTAAGTTTCAACATATGCACTTTGGGATACACATTTAGACTACAGCCATATGTATGCAAAATATATAAGGCATGTATCTGTACAAGTGTAGCTTATCTGAAAGTTTTTTAAAGATCTTGTCAAAATAGTAGAACCTTTTAAATCTCAAAAAAACTGATCACCACTTGAGGTAGATAAGCAGGAAAAAAACACTTCAATTTTTGAAGACTGAATATGTTTCAGAATATGGAAATTTAGCATGTTCTCTGAACAAAAGGCCTAAAAATCTATTGGTTTATTAAATCATTTTCACATTAATGCATTATTTTGATCATTTTCACATTGCCTACATCAGTGATGTGCAATGGAACTATAATGCAAAGCACATATGCAATTATAAATTTTCTTGGAAATACAGTGAAATATAAAAACAGGTAAAATTAATTCTAATAATTTATTTTATTAACTCAATGTATCGAAGATATAGCTAAGCTATAAGCATTACAGCATATAATCAATACAAAAATACTGAGACATTTTAGTTTTATACTGCCTTCGAAATCCAGTGTATATTTTACATTTATAGTATATGTCCTTACAACCTCCCTAATTTCATCAGAAAATACTTAATTGGTATTTATTTTATAGAGACATGGTCTAGCTCTCTTGCCAGGCTGGAATGCAGTGGCACAGTCACAGCTCACTGCAACCTCAACCTCCCTGGCTCAACTGATCCTCCCACCTCAGCCTCTGGAGTAGTTGGGACCACAGGTGTGTGCCACCACACCTGGCTAATTTTTAAACTTTTTGTACGGACGAGGTCTCACTGTGTTGCCCAAGCTGGTCTCGAATTCCTGACCTCAACCAATCCTCCTGCCTCAGCCTCCCAAAGTGCTGGTAAACAGTTAAGAGCCACCCACACCTTAAACATAATCAGTTTTTAGATATCATAAAATTTACAGTTGAAAAAGTAGATTCAAATACCACAGTTGTTCCAATCATATTTAAAAAACTTTCCAATAACTGAATCAAGTGTCAGTTTTTTAGTTTCCTAAAACTAAAATTAAATATTCAGTTACTTCATGACACGGCATGTTTCAAAAGCTCAATAGCCACAGGTGGTTAGTAGCCACGCTATTGAAGAGCACAGATCTAGGCTAACTGGTTTCTGTTGTTCTCCACATGCTAACTTAAACTGTAACGCAAATATGAAAAGAAATTATTTTTGCGTGCTGTGGAAGACAGAGAACTTTGAAATACATGAGAATGGAAAAACAAACTGAATATGGGTCTTTCAGAGACATTGCCAAGAAGATAAAGCTTCTGTAGAAGAGTATCAAGTCAATGGTACTATTATGTTTCACCACCATCGAGAGAACATTCCCGTCACTTCAACAGTCCCCTTATGTTTTAGTCTTTTTTCTTTAAAAAAAAAGAAAGAAAGAAAGAAAGAAAGAAAGAAGAAAGAAAAGAAAAGAAAAGAAAGAAAAATTGAATCTGCAGAGGGCCTGCACTGGATACCATGCTGTATGCACAAAAGGGGTGACATTTAAGGCCTGCTCTCAGTTAGAGTGTAATTTAATCTTCTAGTCACTAGGAATACAATGTTTTAGAACATTTCTGCCTGTTGGAATTTTGAACCTAAGGTGAATCGGCTGACATCATAACTTACCCTTTCTGTTGTTCTCATAGGTTTTCAAAATTTGGTTTGATCTAAATCCTCTGGTACCTTACGTCCCATAAAAATTTCATCTAATTCAGGAGTAGCGACTGCTGCAGTACCCGTCATATAAAAGAATATGAGTTTTACAAATCATTGTCCTGTAGAAGAAAACACAGGTAGCAATATGAGTATTTCATACTATTTTATTTAATCCCAAAATAATCAGAAAAGAGTCATAGAAAATATCCTACGCTTAACTTTATGTTCTCAAGTTTCAAGAGAAAGTTTTTAAAGAGGCAATCCTTACTTTGGCAAAAGTGCATTAAAGCTTGCTGCATTTAAGAGATGTCCCTTTATGCAAACAGGTTGAATGACTATTTCAAAAACGCTTTGGAAAAACCGAGTGGCGCGCAGCTCAGCAATCCAGTCTTAAGGCGCGCCTCTTGCCACAAATTTGATCCAGCATTACAACGCACAGGTGCACTCACTGCACGGGAGCAGCAAGTAAATCATGTGCCAACATTCAACCTGTAAGTGCGTCGTCGGAGCCTACCTCACCTTCCACCTAACTTTCTCCAGTATTCACCTTTCCGAAAACGTGCCCCCGTGAACAACCGCCGCTTTCCCCAATAAAGCCCGCACGCTGGGTTCCCACGCTCCTCAGGAGAGGCCGAGGGCGCAAAGGATTCTGAAGCACGCGACTGCGCAGGCGCTGCCCTCCCGGCGCATGCGCCGTACTCCGCGCATACTCAGAGACGGAGACCCACGGGGTCCCGGGCGGGTAACGGAGGCCGACCTGCCCCGCCCCCGTATTCTGCGCGGAGCTTCTCTTCCGCTGTGGGTTTGCTCCGCTTCCCTTTCCTGGCGGGAAGGCGGCGGACACCGGTGTCTTTTCTCTCTCTTGCACAGAGTCAGCTTCTGCAGCTCTCCCAGGCTAGCATGGCAGCCTGGAAGTGTCGGACCGCCCTGCGGCTCTGCGCCACAGGTAATGAGCGAGCAGAGGTCGCGACGCCGGCAGGCTCTTGGGACCTGGCCCGCCGTGGGGCCGGCATTGGGCCCGGGGCTGAGGCGAGGTCTGTGGGGTCCGCGGAGATGCCCGCCCGGTCCCGGCAGAGTCCTGCCGCCCCGCCACGCCGCCCTGCCTGGCCCTGATGGAGCGGTTACCTTGGGGTCTTTCCCTTGCCCCTGTGCAGGGACCAGTGCTGGACGCGGGAAGGGCGGGCTTCCTTGTGTCTGGGTTTTTTTCATGGTGGCAGGAAGTTTCAATCAAGCTCACTCCTTTGATGGACAAGAAGGATACTGCCGTCCCAGCTTCACCGCCAGCTCTTGCCTTGGCTTTAGGTTCCGAGCCGTGTCACGTTTAAGGGTTTTTACCAACAGGGCTCAGACAGATCAGGGTCAGGCCGCCGGGATTGTGCGGTGTGAAACAGTGTGCGGACACACTGTGTGTCCGGTGTTCTCAGCTCCCTCTCTTCAGCCCTGGGTGCCTTCGTTCTCACTGGGGTCCGCTCACTAAGCAACCTTTTAGAGCCCATTCTATGTCGGGCAATGCCCTGTAGTAAGTATTAGAGTTGCAGCTCGACTTTGTTTCTTTCCAGCCATCTGTTTCGGGGTAAATACTTTGAATGGCATTTGTAGTTTTTACTGAAGAGATCATTGCTACTAAAGCAAAAGAAATACAGAGGAATGCTGTCTGCCTGTATTCCAAAAAGACAGGATGGTAAAAAGGAAAAGTAAGATGAGAGTTAAAATATGTACGAAAATGGAACTCTGTGTTTATTAGATTTACTGGCTTACTAGAACCTGGCCGGTCATGATATGGTTGCATACAGACTAGATGTTTATTAAATCGATGAACTACTTCTGTTTTTGCATCATTTGAACCCTGGAATGCATCGGTGATTAATTTTTTGGAAGGTTGTAAAAGGTCAAAAACACTTCAAAGATGACTAAGCTTATGCCGTATGAGCCAAATAATCAGCATTTATTGTGTACACTTTTTCTTTTTTTCAGTTGTTTTACTTGATACAGTCGTCTGTAAAGGAGTTGTAGAAGATTTAGATGAATCGTGAGTATACATATATGTATTTAAAATATTGTTTTAACTTTGTCCAACTCAGATATCTGAATATTTGCATGTGAATCTGATATTTTAAATTAGAACCAATTTTTATATATTATTATTATTTTTCTCTTGTTTTAAGGCCTATATAGATACAAAATGAGGGTACGCCCAGAAGTTTTATTAATAGTTATGAGATCAAAAAACTGTGGCACCCTGTCCATATTCTTTTCTTCCCCATTATCATACCTTGTATTTTGTGTCTTTTTGCTTTTGTGCTTGTATTTGTTATGTTTTACTTGTGTTTGTTATGTCTTTTTGCTTTAATTTTGTATTGAATGGGTACTAAAGTTTGGTAACTATGCTGTGTTTTTCTTCATAGTATCACAGCATTAATCTACCTTGCTTATAATAAGTGAGTAGGTGCACTTCAGACCAAAATCCCATGTGTGATCTCTCGGGCTTGACCATAAACAATTGCAAGGCTTTTTCTGGCAGGCTGCATAGGGGAAGGTGCCCTCCCTACACCAAACTTCATTTATAATCAATGCATTGCAGTCTCTGGATGAAGTTGTAGTCAAGGATTCGGCCTCCCAGGCCAGCCAGGCTCATTTACATGTCTACACTCCGGAACCCAGTGGCCTCTATTTGGCAGCCTCCTTATTGGGACCTCACCTTAGGCATTTCCCAAGCAGCTCTGCTAAAACATCTTTATTGAGAGCCTCTGTTGAGGCACTTTTCTACACCTAGCCTTTTTCTCTCTCACCTCTGCCCATAAAGAGACAGAAGACTTTTGTTCAGTGCTCCTAGAAAATGAGATGAATTCTCCCATCTGCGTCGCATCCACCTGACTCACCTGGTGCTGTTTCACAGGGGAGAAATGAAACACTGAGGGGCTGATGCCTCTTTTTTTTTTTTAACCTCTTGGCTTGAACTGTCACAGTAAGTGAATAAAGCCTTGATTGTTAGTTTCAGTTTAGCTTGTTGTCCTGATTGACCACCTGGACACCTGATGGCATGACCAAATGGGTACAGTAGGCGTGTGATCATACAGTGCTGTTCAATAAGAGCAAAAATCCTGACAGTCCCATGGGGGCACTTCGCTGGTGGTACTGTTGGGTTGTGGGGGGTGCTAGCTGATTGTTTACAGAAAGTTTTTGATTCTGAGAAGAACCATTGTTCCCAAGGAGATAATCTTATTAAACTTAGTGCCTTGTGGGGTGTGTCAGTACAGACCTCCTCCTTCAGAGTGTCCTAACGGGGGTACTCTTCCTGAGGAGGAAGAAGGGGTTCTGCTCCTAATAACCATTTTGTTACCCATGTGGATGCTCACCAGAAAGAACCCTGTGCTGAAACAGGGGACCTTTACCAAGAGCAAACTATGTCAGCTAAATGTGGAAACTGAATTGTTCCTCGCTTCAGAGCAAGCAGATGTGCAACCAGTTGCCTCCTGGATCCCCAAAAGATGGCTCATGGAAATTCAGGCAGGATCACATTGGGCAGGAATGCATGGACTGCGACGGTTGTGAGAAGACACCATAACAGCATGAAAAAGCTGTCTTGCTTGTCAGACCCCAGTCAAGGGTAACAACACTGTCCAGGGACAGGTTCATAAAGCCAATGGGTCAGGGTCAGGGTATTCTCAGCAGATAGAACATGGTGGGCCTCTCCTGTCTGTAATGCTTCTGTGGCTACTGACTGCAGTTGACGTTTCTCTGGGTTTGGCTTAGCCATTCCCATATGTTCCAGTAACTTGGGCCACACTGTCTAGGCTCTGCAAGACCACCTTTGTTTCCTGTTCACGTAACCTAAGAACACCACACATAATAATGACCCTGGATTATTGGCCTGAGCTACACATCAGTTAGCCCAATTATGGGTGATACAATGGGCTCTTCACGTGCTAGATCAATCCTAATCCACAGGGGTGGTTGAGGACTTTAAGGGACAGTTAAAGGTTGGACCTAGTTAGCTGATGGTGGGGTACACTACCCCAGCCTAGGCTACACATCTCAGGGGAGTGGTCTGGGATCTCAGCACAGGAATTCCTCAATTCAGTATTTTTCATAAGGATTTTATGAACACTGAGGCTTCATTACCAGGAAGTGGTGAGAACACTTCTGAAATCCACGTTCCCAGATGCCAACCAAGGACCATTCTTGCAAACAGTTCTTTCTAAGCATAGCAGCCCGAGGCTTCCTATGGTACCTTTTCTGCACAGGTGTAAAATGTAGTAGGGCAAGGAGCTTAGGCATCTATTTGTGTTTCTACCAAGTCCTGCTGTAATTCCTTTTGTTGGAGTCTTTCCTTCTAATTACTTTATTATTAATCAGTTCTCTGCTTTTATTTTTGAGATATTTGATGGATAGGTCACTGAGTACAAATTTTATATAAAAATTTATTGAAGGAATTTGGTTTTTGCCCTTATATTTATCAATGTATTATCTCTGCCTATACTATACAGTTATAAAGTGGACACAAACATGCAATCAAAGATTTGTTTTCTTGCTTTTCAGGTTTAAAGAAAATCGGAATGATGACATTTGGCTTGTAGATGTAAGTATATAAATTTTATATGCTAGTTACCCACCCCTACAATTTTAAGTATTATTTTCTATTTTCCTCTACCCAAAGACAGCAGTATACAGCTAGTGCTTATGCATATACTCAATTTGGTTTTTTAGGTATTATTATATTTGGGATTTTACATTAAAAAGAAGCTCAGAGTTTTAAGGTTCCTCTGAAGGGAATCTATTTTTGATGAAATTCTGGGGTGAGGACAAGCTGGAACCCTATCTTATAATGAGGTCAACTTTTAGATTATACCTTAGTGGTAAAGGATATGATTTTATTACAGAATTCACTCTTGTTTTCTTGAGCTAGAATATATTACTGTCATTTAGAATCATATTTTTATCTTAACAATGGACAAAATTAAATTTTCTTCTGCCTTTCTTTCAAGTTTGGAGTATATTTAAACCTTAAGATAGTTGCTGTTTTAACATACCTCAACAAAAAGTAGAATAGCAGCAAAAGAGATAGAAAAAGAATGGCAGAGTTGACAGTTACTGAAGCTAGATGACAGATCATGACGATCCACTATTTAATTCTTTCTCCTTTTCTGTATGTTTGAACATTTTCATAGTTTAAAGTTAAAAAATCTTGCTTCATGAGAAGATAACAAGCAGTTTGTAACACCACTTAACTAGGGAAACCTGAGTATCAACCCCACCATCTGGTAATTCTAAAGAAGGGTAAAAGACTGTGACTTTAATTAACCTGACTTGCTCCTGTGCCAAACCAGTCGTCTTAAGGACCTCCACAGTTTTGCCAGTGGTTACGATAGAAGTCAGCAAAGCCACCTACTATGCTGGAATTTTTATGATATAAGTAGATTGATATTTATAGTTAACAATTAGGTGTGTCTGTGATGTGGTATGTATATGTTTATTTTGGGGATTCATTTTACATAAAACATTTTATATAGAACATTTACTTGGAAGCAAGGACATTTTTATTGTAAATCGTATGTCTGTTTTAAATAAGTATCAGTAGTCAATTAAAATGAACTTAAGATAGTACCAGGTTTGAGGTGTCTAGGTTTATGT